GGATATAAATACTTATATAGAACCTAGGGAACCTTTTATCCAAAGGGATAAAAGTTATATTTTATTAATTTTTGACCATAAGTCAGCGGGTAGGCTGTGTGTCATATATATTGGGAATTGACTGTAAGTCAGCGGGAAGGCTGTGTGTCAAACAATAGAATCAACTGTAAAACCTAGGCGAGGGACTGCCCTAGTGTGTGTTGAACAATAAAATAACCTATTTTATTAGGTAACTCGGATTGCACGCTCGCAGTATATATATATAATTATTATTGTTTAAAATTAAATTTTTCTCACATACCATTATTCTCAATAATTCTTTTTAGACAAAAGAGAAAAGAAAAATTTATTATAATGAAGAAGACAAAGAAAATGATATTTTTGCTAGTAACCTTACTGATAAAGATAGCAGTTTATGGAGTCAAGATACTCTAACCATTGTTCAACAAAACTTCAATTACACAATTCTGTCATATGCAAGAATCTTTGTTATCAAATAGTGAGTCCAAATTTGATAGAAATCTTTCAGGTGAAGATGTGAGTGAGGATGAAGATGAAGATGGTAAAAAACTTAGAAAACTCAAAGATGATTTTACAACAAGATTCAAGGTGTTAAGCAATGACAAAAAATGGAAACTTCCTTCAGGAAGGTATGTGGAAGATGTTTTGTACAGTTGGGCAATAACTCAAAATATTGAAATGTAAATATTTCATATGTTATTAAATTAGTATAATATTAATATATATATAATGATCCTTTGTCTAATTTTCATGAAGAGTTGCACATTCTTTTATCTTGGATACAGACTGCCAAGAAATTATGGATTTATTTGGTATGGAGGAAAGAGAGATGATTTAAAAAAGTGTTTCCAGAATTGCAAGATGACATCAAGAAATATGTGATGAGCTATTATAAGGTATTTTTAAAAATGTTAATTGATTTGATTACATTTTTATGTGATTACATTTCTATATCTTCCACAGAAAAAGGTTAGTGACCTTCAACAACATGTTATGACATCATATTTGAAAGATGGCACAACTTATAATCCACAACAACACTATGATCTAGATTGGATTCGTTTAGCTTTCAACAAGTTGTGAGTTGATTTACTCTTGACATTTTATATCACATTGTGGTTTTTGGCTAACGTTTTTTATTATCAACACAGTGTTATTGAATGGGAACAAGATGTGAATGCATTAGCAGATAGGGTTTGTATTCGTGAATATCATAAGGGGGTCACACATGGTCACACACTATTAAAATCAAATGATCAACTCATGTTTTTAAGGGATTTTTTGCTGTTTTAATAGTGTGTAACCCCCTTAATGATATTCATGATATTCATGAATAAAAACCCTATTAGCAGATAATAATCTGGAATCATGGATTGTATGCCATGTATGGGCATTTATAGTTGATATGGGACTTAAAAGCATTGAAGTAACACAAATTGGAAAGTATGTATAGTGTTCAGGAAAAAATTTATTGTTATGTAACTATCACTATGCATCAATTTCACAACAATGTCATTGATTGAACTGCCACAAAATATTTCTTCGTTGTTTTCCTGTGTTCACAGAGTGGATGGTGGATCTCTGGCTTCAAAAATTCGTAAAAATAAGAAAAGAAAAATTGGAAAACCCATTACTCATGTAAGCCTTTACAATTCCATAATGGTATAATAATAACTATAATTCAAGAGCTTACTGCTCATTGCTTTCTTTTTTGTTATCTTAATAGAGCAGAAAGGTTGATCTGCTACTAAAATTCGCAATAGTTCAAGAGAAATATTTGTTGGAGAAGTTGCTAGGACAGGTGATATACACCACAAAAAATATTTGACTGATTGAGTAAAATTATCGAAGCTTATGAAAGACATGTTAGAATTAATAATTGAATTAGTTCAGGTCTGGGTCACTTTACTGACATGACAACACATGGGGCTACATTCAATCTCTACACAATCAAACAAACTAACAAAATGCTAAAATATCACATCATATGTTGTCAGTAAAGTGTCTTGTTGGTAAAGTGGGTGTTGGTAAAGTGTCTGGGTCTGGAATTAGTTCCACCTACAACAATTGAAAACTATAGAAATTTGTGTACATTTGGAATACAACTTTATAGTAAGTGAATATCCTTTATATATTTAGTCTGTTATTATCAGTTTCATTTATGGCATTGTTTATTTCTTAGAAAATAAAGGTAGTATTTACATCATGGATTGTCCTGGAGGTAGTATTGCACGTTTAACCAAGAAAGCTCAATTAGAAGCTCCTCTATACATTACAGATATTCGTGAGTTAATTTTATCAATCATTACAATGTTAGAATTGAAGGTAATATTTAAGATTTCCAATTTCCCAATAATTATATATATTCGCATATATGCAGAATGCAATCAGAGAGATGTTAAAAATACTTGAAAAAATAGAGGATGATGAATCTGAAATGCAAATTTTTCAGAGACATAAAAACAAGCATTCGGTTACAACTTGCAGAAACAACAACAACACCCAAGTCCTTCACCCTGATTTAATAATTACATATGCATACCTAAAAAAATAAAAGTATATAATATTTTATTAAGAATTTTCATTATTCTCTTACTATTACTGTAAAAATGAATCCAATCCTTCAAGATACGCATATGCATATTTTGCTAATTAATATATAATATTATAGTCAACTCTCTTAAATGCAATTTCTATAAATACAAATCTCTCTAAATGCATATTTGGTCTTGTCATGGGACTTAGTGATATATGCAAATTCCTTATTCTGTAAATGTACGTTATTCTTTTGGCCTATCAATTGTTTATTATGTTTATGTGGATCAGAAATGAATAGGTTTACTAACATATTAGTTTATTGGTGGATAATTTTGGTTTAAAAAGATAATAAATGTTTATTTATTTTATTTAGTCGAAACTAATTAAAGATTTAAAAGAGAACGATCATGTGAGCTATGTTTTAACACAAAATTTTAATCCATGTATTCATTGATTGGCCAATCAAAATCATGAATTTGATAACGTAAAAAAATAATAATAATAAAAATAATCGACAAAATGGTTCAAATTTAAGAAGTTGGAAGAAAGCATGCGACAAACCTTCAAAATAGTCTAATAAATTAAATTGTACTACTCAAAGATGTATTTAAAGGGTTGGTTTTCGACTTGGTCGAAAAACAACTCTCTTTCTAACTCTTCTCCTCTCGACATAATCTTCATATAGTGCAAGTCACTTATGTGATTTTTCCAGAAAGAATTATCTTTGTTATTAAAAAAAAATAGAAAGAACAGCTAAATTCATTTATTTTAAATTTAATAAATAGACTATTGCATTGATTAAAGAAACGTGCAAAAAATATACTGCTATCTCCTACCTAGCACCAAAAATATATTTCATGGAAGTACATTTTATTTCTATTGCTAATAAGTAGAATTCCTTTATATTACAATTAAAGATGCGCAAAAATTTTGGAAAAAGGTACAACAAACAAACACATTTCTAATTGCTTAATAAATCAGATATATTGTATGCTCTTTCGAGTTAGCAAGTGATTGGTAACAATAACCAATTTGATTTTTAAAATTAAATACTAGCCAAAATTATCAAATAAATAATGCATGTAAAAAAACAAAAAAAAATTTATTATAAAAAACAAGTTTATAGAGCATGCATAGTTATGATGCTAGCCACAAATTGACAAAAAAATTAAACACGATATTATTATTAAAGTATGCTTTTGTAATTAAAGCACAAAATTCATCTGATGGCTTGATTGTAAGGTTTCTGGTCTAATATACCTACCTCTATATAAAAAACGTTGAAAAACCCAAATTGACAAAATAGTTTGAGCTT